GGTCAGACAGAGGATTTTGACTTTTTGATATTTTTTCCTTTATTTCTCATAAGTTATCTGTTACGGGTTATTATAATTATTTATAAGTATCCGGTATCCCTTAAAAAGTTAAAAAGACGTGTCATGATGTAAGAGTGAGTGTTAAAATAGGAGTCGCTAGGAGCCCTTGCCCCTAGCAGTGCTCTTGAAGAATTGACGTAATCAAGTAAGAATATATTTAATTAGTTTGTAAGAGTTTTTTTTTTTTTAATTATTTATAAGTAATAAATTTAAATTTTTTTTTAAAGAAAAAATTTTAAAATTATTTTTAAAAAAAAAAGATTAATAAAAAATAAATAAAAAAATTAATGAAAAGTTTAGATTTAAAATTTTTGAATTTTTACTATTTGAAATATTTTAAGATTAAAAAAAATTTAAATTTACGAAATATAAATAATGTAAAAAACCTAAAGCATTTAGAAGTTAAACCAAACATGCTTTAAATGTGCCAAGGGCTTAAAGCAAGGGCTTAAAGCAGTTAACAAAAATTAATTACAATAGTTGTTATTTGTGAATTCTTTTTATTTTTTTGAATAAGTTTACAATGGGATGGGTGGTTCAAAATTTAACTCTAAAATTGAAGGTGTATCTTCAATTTAATTTATAATTATTGAGTCGTGAGGTGTAAGTAAATTTATTATTAATTGTTAGTGAGTTATACATATTATGATAAGTGTGGTAAATTTAAGGAAAGATCAGTAACTTAATTTTTTTTAAAAAAAATTGTTAATTGATGTATAAATATAAGGGTTTAATATTTTATAATTCAAATTATATATTAAAAATATAATTTATATTTAAAAAATTATATAAAAAATAATTTTATTAAAAATACTTTAATAAATTTATAAAATATACTATACTTTTTGTTTTGTAAAACACTTTTCTATAAATGTAATAATTATACATTTTCATTATTGTAAAATAATGAATGAATTGCACTTGCGACCTTAACCGCGATGGAAGTGCACCAACTCCTTAGTTTTTTTGTCAAGGATTTTAGTTGTCAGTGTCGCAGTAATATTATAACTATTCTCCATCCCCCAATTTTTCACTGGTCAAAAAAATAATAATAATAATGAATGAATTTCCTTCTTCCTCTCAAATTTCTTTCCTTT